CACAAATGTAGAAGAAATAATTAAGAAATGCTTGAATGTAAATGGAGGACACTTGAACTGACTTTTAGTAATAAATTGTTAATTAAAAAAATGTTGGTTTAATATTTATTTACAGTTACGCATTCTTTATAACATATATGTTATTAAAATATTTCATAAAATAAATCTAATTGACATCCTACAAATTTGTTGAGTTTTTTTTAAATAAGCAAATAGGTACTGTTTGTATAACTCTTACATTTTTTAAATGTTTAGCTTGTCAATGTTTTTTATAATTCACTAACTGCTATTTTTTATCAGTAGGTAATATTGTTTATGCACGATGACATTATAATATGACAATTATAACAAAAATTCTTTGACGTAAACGTCTTTTTATAGCCCGCGGGCGTTATTATGACCCAGCGGGCTATAATGAAACGTCAAAAATTAAAAACAACAATGTTACACCATTTGATATATTCGAAGTAAGTTTTTTCGTATAAAGATTTTGATTTTTCCGGCAGCAGGCCGCAATTTTTCGCCTTTTCAGCTGCTTCCTCAACTTAATTCATCTTTAAACTTTAAAACTGACAGATGTCAGTTGACATTATAATATGACAATTATAACAAAAATTCTTTGACGTAAACGTCTTTAAAAACAATAATATATTAAAAATAATAATATATTAATCGTGCATAAAGTTTTGTATGCATTGCTGGCATAACTGGTTTTTATGGTCCTACGACGCTTTTCTAGCCCTCGCGCTAACGCGCTCGGGCTCGAAATAGCGCCTCGGACCATAAAAACCTTATTATGCCCTTAATACATAAATAACTATTACAAAACACCTAATTAGTCAACAAATTGTTTATAATAACCTAAAAAATTGACGCCATTGAATTTTAAAAAATGACATTTACGTAATTACCATAGATACCGTCAACTCACCCGTCACATGTTTCTTGGTACAAAATAATATTTAAAATTTTAGAAATTGTTAAATATCTCAAAAATTATTAAGTTTGGGTATAGGGAATAGTAACATTATTCGAAAGTTTTTTAATTTTCTATTTGATAATGTTATAATAATATATATATAATATATTGAGATGTCCCCCAAGTGAAAATGATTATTTTTTATTTTTGGTTGTTACTGTTTGTCTAGAATTGGGTTTTTGGGAAGCCACCAGGTCTAGTAATAACATAACATAAGTGGTTTTGCATTGATGCAAGAATTTTAAGAAATCATACATTTTGAATATTAGAGCTTCACGGAAGATGGCTTCACGGAGGTTAGGATTTCGTATGTTTTTTTAAACATCCCTTTGTATTTTTGAAATAAGTTATTGTATCTTTTGACACCTTAATATTTTTTAAAAATACAATTGTACATAAAATATTTATAAAAAAAATCTGCTTACTGAGACATTACGCTTCACGGTGGATAGGTTTTTAAATAGCAAATTAATGAACTTAACCCTTTATAGGTTAATGGTCTCTATGTTAACCACATCCATTACAGCTTACTTAGAAATGAGAGAGAACCCAAACTTCGACCAAAGTACAAATAAATGAACTCATAATGTGCAGTGGGTATCATATTGGCCACAATTTAAATTTGGCAATTGCTAGAACCAATGTGGTCTCTATGTTAACCATTGCCTGTTCCCACAAAATTGCAAAAAAGTAACATTTGCAGTAATTGTTGCTGCTAGCGAGCATAAGCATGTTTGTTTTACCTGACAACACACATAATTCAAAAGGTAATTGAATGCTTTACAACTTGTGATAATAGTACTTTGAAAATAGGTTAGCGCTAACGAAATATTTAGATCGTTTTGGAACATAACCTCTATCAAGCTCCCATACCGTAAGACTATTGAATCCATGCTTATAAACGTCCAGTATTTTTTGGTTTTTTGAAAAATTGGATTCAAGTAAACTATTTTATCTAGTTGTTGGTATAACCGAAGATCAGGCTATGGATTCGGAGATTGAGGGCGATAGCCCATGTTTACAAATTACTTCTGCCAATACTTCAGCACGATCCAGCCTACGTAATCGTAGTGATCGAACATCCAGTGTAAATTTCACAAAACAAATTTTGAATAGATTTGGGGGTGAAAGTGACTCTGATGCAGATGTTCTTTTAGATGACTCAGTATCGCGATTACTCATCAGATTCAGAGAAAACTACCAGTAGTATGTCATTTTTGAAAATTGACCAGTGAAAATAAAAATAAAAATATGCATCACAGAAATGCCACTGTAACTTACTCACAAACCCAAGAGTAGGTAGAATCAAAAAATGAAGAAACTTTAAGAAATTGAAATTTACTAAAACCGTTTCCAGATAAGAATAATGACAGTGAACAATTTGGAAATAAATATTTGATTTTTTATAGCATACACCATGTAATTATTTTACCTGGTCCTGAAAAAAAAACTAAAATCCTGTCAGAAACGCAAAAAAAAAAACGATTAATTTAAATATGTGGTTTGCATTTAGACCACCGCCCATCTATCATCTTATGGGCAGTGGTTTCCATTTTATCCACTATGATAAATTTAAAAAAAACAGTTGGATTTTCAAAATAATCATTAAAATAACTTCAGACATCCAAAATAGGTAGGTCTTACAAATAAAAAACATAAAATAACGATTAATGGATTCTGCCCTATAAAGGGTTAAACTTTTGAATTATAAAACAGCAACACTCTCATCTGCATATAAATTCTAACTGACCTTCAGGAATCACATGCATCTATAATGTCGTAAACAGAGGTTTTTGCTTATTTAAAATGATTAAAGCGCCATCCGTTGCATAAAATTTAAAGCAAAAACAGACTCACGGAGGATAGAATCAATTTGTGTAACACCTACATAAATGGTTATAAAAATTATTTCTTTTAATTTTTAATAATATTTTATATTTGATTCGATTGCTTTGGATGTGTTTAATTTACTTAGTGAACTGATATTTTTAGTATGCTTTTACCACCTCAGATATTTGAACACATATAGGTTAACCTAGAAAGTCACGGAGGATAGGTTTTGGACTTTTAAAAAATTGTAAAAAATAATTTATTGCGGTTAAAAATCTGGAACCTGAGCTGTAATATCTACTTAATTATGAAAGATCAAAACACAATAAAAGAGTTTTTTTGTATTAATTAACCTTATTTGAACTGGGTTTTCGCAGGTAATTTGTTAAAAAATGTTAAAGAATTGACATGTAATCTTTTAAACAATGTTCCAAAACCCAAACAGAATTTAAAAATGTAAAAATATATGGCGTGTTCTATTTGGAATAACAAACTTGTTATTTTTGGTTAAACCGGAAGTAGCATTTTGTTCAAAATATTTTAGAAAAATAGACGTAAATGGATTATAAACGTTTTTAAATTTTCAAATTAATATTTTTTTTTGTTCCTCAGAAACTTTTATTGGACCACGAATGTGAAACACCCTGTATGTTTATTATAGAATTTTACCATTTTTAAAATAATAATTTTGTTAAAAATTAACGTAACTACAAAATAAGCGTAATTTAACTTAAATGACTATAAATTTATAAAAAAACTATTATTTTTTACTAAGAAATCCATTTAAATTTTTCCAATTTTTAATTAATTTTTAATTAAAATCCTATCGAAATCTTATGTACAAAGGAAAATTTATATAAAAAAATGGCGGCATTTTTCCCGCTCAAATTAAATACTTTTTGGGTTATTTTCTTCTCTTCTTGGGTCCGATTTTTAAAAACCCATGGTATAAACTTAAAGGAAATCTACTAATTTGTATATCGTGACTTTCCAGAAAATTCTAAAACCCGGATGTGAAATATTTAATAACAAAAATTATAGGAAATTTAGTTGACCTTGGCAATAACGAAAATTAATAATTTTTTCATTATTTTATTTAATTATACTCTTTTAGCGTGCCAAAAATAAATAACTATAATGTATGATATGAAAATGCACATAACAATAGGTCTATTAAAAATATAGTGTCAATTATAAAACTTATTCTGTTTTAATTTTAATTATTGTTTAAAATACTGCATGCATGGTTAATAATTGCTATTATTATATCGTCTTCTTTAATTTAAATTTTACACGCTTTTAACCTTTGTGAGATTTCTAGTGCAAAGGAAAAATTTCCAGAAGGTAATGATGCTGTCCAATTATTTTTTTTTATACATAGCAAAATCTGTGTTACTTGCGGTTTATAAATCACTATAATTATGAAAAATTAATATTAAATTATGTTTTAACGTTTTTAATTATTAGCCAATTTCCCGACCTAAGGCTGTATATAGTTAGGGTATATTTTACATTATCCCACCTTTAAAACGCTCATTATCGTACGTGTTTCGATGAAACTAAGATACCTAGTATTTGCCGATGAAGAATTAATAATTTCGGATTTATTACATTTTTCCAATTTTCTGTAGACGTTGCTCTATTCAAATATTTAAATTTATAACTCTTTACAAACTTTTATTAAACATTTGCTCGCAGGCTTCGCTCGTGCCTAATTAAAATTGGTGACTGAATTGGTGTTTATCAAAATTGATATATACATTTAATAGACTTTTCTATATTCATCAAACCAAAAAGCCACCAAAACAATTTTACCAATTGATATATTTTTTAATTGTTAAAATTATGATTTTTTAATTCTGATAAATTGTTAAAATGGTTTTCATGGGTATTTTGGTTCGATGAATAGAGTTTAGTTTATTAAAAACTCTTAAGCTTTGCTCGTGTGTTAAGTTACTTGAAGCATTGGAAAAAAGTGATGTTAAAACAGTTTGACAAGTGTTAGATTGGAAAAAAGTAAGGTTATACCCCTCTGACAGATGTCAGATTTTAAAAAAGTGGGGTAGACATTTAAAATTAACCTTAAATTCTAATAAACATAACTTTGCCTTTACCTGCCAGCTTCGCTCGTGCATAATTAAATCCGTGTATTAAATATTAGGGAATAAAATATTTGAAAATCTATTCTTACCGTATGCCCTGCACCAAACTCCCAGAATTTTTGTACTTGTTGTGTAAATCCCATTTTAAGGTACTGAAAAACAAACAAAATAAACATTAATTAATGTACATACCTATATATTTACGTTAATAAATATATAATTAAATATGCAAATATATAATTAAATATGCAATTTAATACGTAGGTACTATACAGGGTGTTTCATAATATATGCGCAGGACTTCAGGATGTGATAGCTCATCCAAAAAGATGAAAAAAGTCGCTATTAACTTACCCTCTAAAATGCACAACTTTCGAGATACAGGGTGTTGAAATTTTAGAAAAAAAATCGTTTTTTTCGATTATCTCCGGAACCGTTCATCGTACAAATAACAGCTTTTGTAAGCATTTTCTACTCAAAATAAGCTAAGTTTTGTGCCAGAAAAAAAATTTTTTTTACTCATAATTGGTGGAGATTTTGAAGGGGTAGCGGGTGTTTTTCTCCTCAACTTCTACGCCTCTAAAAAATGTACGGTTTTGAGAGGCCTATTCGAACCGCCAATGTTTTCTACACAAAAAAGGTACTCTTGGTCATAAGCTCTAAAGTTGACCTTTTTCGAGAAAAATCAACTTTTATATTTAAAAACATGTTCAATTTAAAAAAAAAAAAATTTTATTACTAATTAAACAAATTTTATTTTAACATTAGAAAAAGTAACAAAACCAAACGATAATTGCAAAATTAAAAAAAAAATAAAAAATGATTTTTTACACAAATGCTGAAATGTTCGAAATGCGTTACCTTTACGGTTTGGAGAATTTAGCAAAGACAACTTTTGAATCATTTTTTATTTTGCAATTATGGTTTGGTTTTGTTACTTGTTCTAACGTTAAAAAAAATTTTGTTTAATTAGTAAAAAAAAATTATTTTTTTTTAAATTGACCATGTTTTTAAACATAAAAGTTGATTTTTCTCGAAAACGGTCAACTTTAGAGCTTATGACCAAGAGTACCTTTTTTGTGTAGAAAACATTGGCGGTTCGAATAGGCCTCTCAAAACCGTACATTTTTCAGGGGCGTAGAAGTTGAGGAGAAAAACACCCGCTACCCCTTCAAAATCTCCACCAATTATGAGTAAAAAAAAATTTTTTTCTGGCACAAAACATAGCTTATTTTGAGTAGAAAATGCTTACAAAAGCTGTTTTTTGTACGATAAACGGTTCCAGAGATATTAGAAAAAAACGATTTTTTTTCTAAAATTTCAACACCCTGTATCTCGAAAATTGTGCATTTTAGAGGGTAAGTTAATAGCGACTTTTTTCATCTTTTTGGATGAGCTATCACATCCTGAAGTCCTGCGCATATATTATGAAACACCCTGTATACATTTCCATAATAATTACACAGGGTGTACAAAAAATGCTTTGTCAAACTTTGGGATATGTATACCTACACTATAACAAAAATATAAAAAGTTTCTCTTTGTGTAAACGTTTGCCAGAAATACTTAATAAAAGTTATTATTTTAATTTTAGTTTAACCATTTTTGGGAATCTGTATTACCGGCACGAAAATGTCATTTTTTTTGTGTAAATCGGAATGAATTCCTTGAAAATGAACTAACAACAGTTTTTCACAGTGAAAGTAAAGAAAATGTTTTATGGGCACTCCACGGTGGAGTCCTCACCCGAAATTAAGTTAAATCTAGTTTACTACCGGCGAAATTAAAAGGTCAGTACAATGTTCATATAAACTTTTTAAATATTGGCATTTAAACTATTAACTTAAGGTTTACTTCAGCCCGTGACTAAAAACCTCCTGCCAACTTCAGCCCGTGACTAAAACGCCATAAGCCACAACATGTCAATGTGTATTTAAAAGGTCACTTGTTATGGAAACATATACATATATGGGCGTTTTAAAGGTGGAAGTAGAAAAATTATTTTATTTTACAAAAAATACATCTTAAAGTTGAATTAAATAGTTTCTCCATAATTTTATAAAAATGTTATTTTTCGAGTGTGCTTACACCCTCATAAGGTCCAAAAGACCGAAAAGGACGAGTTTTCACAACTTTGTTTTTATATAAATTTTTTAATCCTTATAGCAATTAGTTTCGTTAAGTTAGATTTCTCTATTAAAATACGATAATGCAAATATTGAGTGTTGCCTTTTGTGTATCCTCTAAACCCACATTACGTTTTTATACCTTTTTGGTTTTTAATTTTTTTATATTTTACATTGTTTCTTATTTTCTTGTCTTATACAAAAAAGTTATGTTTCAGAAACTTTTGATCTGCTTTTTTATATCTTTAAAATATTTCATTAATATACTTTTTTATAAAATTAAATAAAATATATTAAAAAAACTAAAAAAAAACTAAAAAATTCAATTAATAGTTTATGTATTATAAGTAAAGGACACTTTAAGTCTTTAACGTATGATATTTCTAACAGTACACCAATATTTTTTTATTATTTTATCATGATTTTTTTAAATTAAAAAAAAAAGTTAAAAAAACTTAATTTTTTTTAAATTTAAAGATCATAATAAATTAATTCAAACAATCTAAGTTTACTTTTAGAAATATCATACGTTAAAGTAAACTTTACTTATACGAGGTGTGTTCAGAAAATAACGGGAATTGTTAAATTACGCGGGTTCGGAGGGTCCGGTTGTCATAAAATTTTCTTTATTATGTTGGTATACATGCCCCCGAAGTATGATAAAAACTTTAGCTGTTTTCATTGTTTACTTTGTCTGTGGCAACCGCTAAGGTTAGACGTGTTTTATGAGCTCGGCGATTTTTCGTTCGTTAAAAGAAATGAATCAAAGAATTTGTATCCAATTTTGCTTAATAAATAAAATAATTTCTGTGAAATGTTAACAACGCACAAGCACATTAACAACCGATAAAAACATGGAAAAAGTGGAAGAAATGGTTATAAACCATCAGAGAAGTCGCTGATGATGTTGGAATATCGATTGGCTCATCCCATGAAATTTTTTCGAATGTTTTGGGTATGAAACGCGTGGCAGCAAAATTTGTTCTAAAATTGTTAAATTTTGAACACAATTTTTGGCCAAAAACAATACTGTAATGATGCCCCAGCCTCCATATTCGCCAGACATGCCTCTGTCTGACTTTTTCCTATTCCCAAAAATAAGGAGAACCTTAAAGGGCCGTCGTTTTGCATGCAAAGATGACATTAAAAACGCATCGCTGAAAGAACTAAAGGCTATCCCAAAGATCGAGTTTTAGAAGTGTTTCGAGTATTGGAAGAAGAGCTGGCACATGTGCATAATATCTAATGGGAATAATATAAATATTTGCTTCAAAAAACGAAAATTCCCGATATTTTCTGAACACACCTGGTATATAATACAATAACTATGAATAGAATTACTAAATATATAAATAATATAACTTTAACAACCAAATACAATTATCAAAGGCAACATTTTTAATTCTTTTTTTAAGCAAAAACACACTTGTAAAGCTTGTCTATGGTTCGTATAAATCATGGCTAGCAACAACGAAAATTATTTATTTTATAGTTTTTTATTCAGTAATAAAAAAGTTCATTTTTCAAGAGCCTTATTGTATACTTCAATTTATTTATTATTTTTTCAGATAATCGGTATAGTAATGGTGACGTCAATTTTTTCAACATTTCAAGACTAAGAGAATTTTATAATTGGAAACATAAAAGAAATGTATAAATTCCTTAATATGATTTCCTTGTTAATTTTATTTTTAGCCTGGCAAATCTTTGTTTAATTAATATTTAAACACTTAATAAACGCTATTTAAAAAAGATTTTTTGTACCTGGCAATTAGTTAAATAAATGAAGGTGCATAAATAAGTTATGTTTACATTTTTTGTTGCATTATCTTTCTTTTAAAACCACATTGACACACTTTTGTGTAATTTAAACGGTACATTTTTATGTTTTTAATCTGAAAATTAATGCCTTGCCATGATATCCATATATACATATTACCATGAAAACGAGTAATTACTTTTGTAAAGAAAATTTCTTTACTATACCGCCAGTGGCCAGTCTCAAAATATTCCAAAAGGAGGCTAGCCTCGTGGCCCTTATAAACGGTTGACAACGGAACCTTCGGTATTGTAGCCTCCTCTGTGACGTAGTCAGTATATATGGTGCACCAAGTATGATTCTATGTGTATAATAGGTATTTTATAGAAGAACCGCTATTTTTTATTTCATATTCTAAATGTCATTTTAATAGAATTGTAATTTTATTTTTGTCTAATTTAATCTCTTTAAATAAAAAAAGATCTCAATACATTGTTTCATTTCGATAGGTTGTAACTTTTGAATGGGTGGATGTTTTTTGATAATTTTACTTTTGTCAGAAAGGGCGATTCTTTGACAGCAAGTGTGCATAATCGCATTCATTTGTCATCATTATCATTGATTTTACATACAAGTGGATTTGTAAAGCTATGATTTTTATATTTAATTTGTTGATTTCATGTATATTTGCGTAAAACTACTCTCTTAAAATGAATTAGTCAAAAATAACTAATTATAAGTCATATTTGAATAAGTCAAATTAGTAGATTTAAATTTAAAAAAAGTTTTGACCCAGCCGGGGATTGAACTCAGGTCTGTTACTTGTCAAGCTGTTGTCATAACCAATTTGGCTCTCAGCCGCTCTTATAAAAATCAATTTTATTTGTCAATAAATATTGTTCATAATATTTTAAAGTTGAATATATTATTTGTGTTGCTGTTTTGAGCTAAACTTTTTGCATCTTTATTTGTTTTTATGGGTCATTTAACCATGGAGCTTAGGTATATGCATTTAATTCAAATAATACTTTGTTGTTGACCGCAAACGATTAAAGAAATTAGTTACTTTTAACTCTCAAAAATAGTCAAAGATGGTGACTTATCTTAAATTAGTCAAACTTTAACTATTTACGTGGTAAAAAATAACTATTTAAAAGTGAAAACGACTATTTTATTAGTAAAAAATGCTGGTACTAATTCAAATAGTAGAATTTTGACTATTTCATTTTTAGAGAGTATATTTAAAAAACTAATCTACTTTCATAAT